AAAGACTTAATTTAAACAGAAAGGAATGAATTCATAATTTTCACAAAAGTATGATTACTAAGTGAACGTAAGTTTCATCAGTCCTCAGATCTCGCTTTCCTTACTGGCAACCATTGCGCTACAGAATCACAAAACAAAGAATTGTACCAAATAACAGAAACAACATCACTTGAGGACAGCAGCAACAACTAAAATGGATAGAATATGTAACTCGAACATAAAAAAAGGACATAATCAAGAGGCAAACATTCCACCCTACCTTAAATAAAAAATTAGAAAGGAAATCCACATCAATACTGGAAAGACCTATAACAGCTACTGGACTTGAGAAACCTATTTTTCTGGAAAATTGTTTTAATAGAAAGATTTTATAAATTTCAACTGAAATTGCTCGGTCAATGAATGCCAAATGTTTCCTTCTTGAGAAATGGTTAATATTACCATTACACTATCAACTAAACTCCCAAAGAACATATTTGGTAAGTATATTTGTCTGGCATAAGTGTGTAAGAAAAAGTCATGATTGAACACACTACTCTAACATATTTCACAACATATCACGCACTAATCGGATCTCTAGCCACACTGATGAGCCGTGATGTAACGAAACAGTCTGTCTATGGATGACAATATATACGCACCTGAATAAACTTAAATTCGGTTGTGCACTCTTGGAAGATAAGTGCGAATTTATAAACAATGACTATTACTACTAACATTACAAGACTCTTCTCCTTCCCTGAATTGAGTTCTCTCAGTAATTGGTGCGTTTATTCACAGAATAAGTACGTAAAAATTCGCCTTTGCTTCAACCGTTCGCCGATGGTTTAGTGGGTAAATCTCCGACTGTTGCCGAATCAGTCAGTTTTCGATCCCGGCTTGAAGCAATCGAATGTCTAGCCACACTGATGAGCTGTGATACAGCGAAACAGTCTGTCTGTAGATGACTATAAGTATGTATGTATATAATTAATACAAGTAAAATGTTTGTCAGTTAATTGATTGATGTTACCTTCAGCATCCCGACTCTTCAATAGGTATCAGCAATTTACTGCTTACATTTTTCTCCTTTTAACATTGGTGTAAGTTTTTTCTGCATTTATTTTGTGCGCACGTGCGGCCATACGCCCGTCTCTGCGCCGTCTGAGCGGGTGTGATTACTTTGCCTTTTTTCTTCGTTATATATATATATATATATATATATATATATATATATATATATATATATATATGATACTAATGGTATTAATGCTAAAATTGTAAATACTTATATCTACACATGCGCATATATACATATATATCTACACACGCACACATACACACATATACATACATGCACACATACACATATATTTATATATTTTCACTAGGCTATGGTTTCGTTTTTTAATTTGGTTTGGTGGTAAGAATTAATTGGGGGAGGTTGTTTTATAATTAAATTTATTTATAATTTTTAGAATTTATGTGCATATGTCTGTATTTATACGCTTATATATACGCACATCTATTCATTGGTTGGAGTAAAGAAACAAATTAGACACTTGTTTGGTGTTGTAGCATACCTACTTACGATGAAGGGTATGGCCCCATTCCCATAAATACAGTAGTGAATACTGTAAGTGCTCTAGATTCGTCTCCAGCTGTGCTGGTCAAACTCTCTGCATCCGGGCAGACGGGATCCAGAGACGCGGCTATGTCAAAGGGAAGAGTCTCGGAAAACAGCTACCATGTTTTATACGGGGAATTTTTGAAGGAGACAAAGGGCTCGCTTACCCCACATTAACTTCGGCCTTGTGCCACATCTGATCGCGTGAGATAGTAGATATTCTAAAATTGGAGATTCGTTTTCAGCTGTGCTGGTCAAACTCTCTTCTTCCGAGCAATGAGGATCCCCAGATGAAATTATGTCGAAGGATAGAGTTTCGTTTCGGGAAACAGCTACCGGACACCGTTTTATACGGGGTCTACAGGGAATTTTTGGCGAGCCTACGGGCTCGGATACCCTACACCGCGTGGGGCTAGATATCCTAGAGCTGGAGATTCGTCTCCAGCTGTGCTGGTTAAACTCTCTACCTCCGGGAAGAGAGGATACCAAGACGAGGCTATGTCGAAGGGCAGATTCTCGTCTCGGGAAACGGCTACCCGACCCCGTTTTATACAGCTTCTACGTGGAATTTTTGACCGAGCCTACGGGCTCGGATACCCCACATTAAATTCGGCCTTGTGTCACATCTGACCGCGTGGGGCGGTTGGTAGATATCCTAGAGTTGGAGATTCATTGTGGAATTCACTTGACTCACAGTTGACTACTTCTTCTACGCGCCGCTGGCGAATCTTATGTGTTGTTCTTGTGCTAAGTATTATCGTTCATTACCAACCTTCGTTTGATTATTCTGTTCAGTAACCTTCCCTAGGTTACAACATTTGGAGAAATGACCAAAAATTTATTTGTACTATCAATATATATCTATAGATAGGTATATGAATGTTGCAAGTAGTCAGTGAAAACCAGGCGTGATCAAGTCACGTCAGTTTAAGTATACGTGTAATTATGTAATTTCTAAAATGAGTGTATCTAAAAGAGGATAATCTATCTATCTATCTATCTATCTATCTATCTATCTATCTATAGATAGATAGATAGATAGATAGATAGATAGATAGATAGATAGATAGATATTTGGTTGGAAAGAATGTACTCGCTGTATCTAGATTTAATGTTCTACAAACCGCTAAAAATTTATTTACAACCAGAGATATAGGCAGAGAGAAGAGACATATAAAGAAAGAAGAGGAAAAATAAAACTAGAGAGAGAGAAACAGAGAGAGAGAGAGAGAATTGTAGATAGAAAGAAAAAGATGAACTGGAGTAGGACTGATACAAGGGTCGCGTGTCTCCCTCTCAATCTATGATACGGGGTTCCCACTCTACTACATATCAATTTTCACAAGGTACTATTCATATCAGATACAAATTTTATTGTAATCTAATTATGCACAATAATAGATCATATGCAATGTAGGTGAACAATTCAACTAGAAAAACTGAAAATAAATACAATGTATCTAAATACAAATTAGAGACATGTCATAATAGAGCATTCCATTTTAAATAAATCAACAATGTTTTGTGGCAATTTTTAACATCGACTTGAGATTTTTCTTCTTAAAAGTTTGAAGAATTTTCAACATTATGGATAAAAAATATAATGAATTTTATATAGGGTTTTTTCGAGACTTAGCATGAACAAAACAAATTCACGGATTTGGACGTGAACAACAAAAAAAAAAAGAAAGACCCCAGAATGATGTCAAAAACCGTGAACAATTTTCATCCATTAATAGTCAATTGTGCATCGTTTCATTTGTAATATATATAAATGTAGGTAGAAAAAAAGTAGTGTTGATAAGATAGCGAGGGTCACAAAGTAATCATTAGGGTCGGCGGATTCAGGGGTAGTACCCACCGGCCCTGAAGAGGAGAGAGAAAGGAAAAATATCAACGTAGAAATTTCGAAAATACTTTCTTATTTAAAAAGCGTTTAGACTATTTAAGAAGATGAAAAACAAAAAGGCTATAGTTATAAATAACTGATGACGACGAACCAAAAAAGAATGACGACGGGGAGCTTCGCCGTGAAATAGCAATAAGACAGCTAACTATGCATGTCAATACAACTGTAGTGAGTTCGATCCTTTCTTGGTGTAGCCTCATGTTTGTACTAAGCTTATAGAAGAAGAAGAAGAAGAAGAAGACGGCTATTAAACACAATAACAAAAAACAGAAAACAAAAATCATTCGTCGATCGATATTCTTTTTTCACATTCTATTCTCGTCTCTTCAGAGATCGAATTACTTTAGGATTGACTTTCACTTGAAATTCGAAGATATAACAGCGTTGGCGAGTTGCTTGAGGTTAAACAAGAGAGTAAATCTACGTGAACTGTGATTCTTCTTGGAAATTCACAGATGAAGAAGAGATTTGAAGCGATGCGCTAAGAATACTATAGACAGAACATGTGAACACCGAAAAAGTTTTAAGGAAAATATGAACTAAAAGGAAAATTCTAGTTACAATCAGAAGGAAACAGACGGGAATGATGGGAAGGGTTAGGAGGTGGCTCTCATCTTCTTCGCAAGCTCCAGGGTTATGGCATTACGGGTCGATTGTTTGACCTAATACAATCATTCCTGTCAAACCGTGAAATGAAGGTCGTTCTCAACGGATTCTCCTCCAGTTCCTATCCCACGAACGCAGGTGTTCCTCAAGGCTCCATCCTAGGCCCCACTCTATTCCTTGTCTACATAAATGACCTTCCCGACGCCATAAATTCCCAAATTGGCATCTACGCGGATGACACTACAATTTATTCCTGCCTCAAAAATAAATCTAGTGTCACTGACAAAACTAACCTGGGCGTGCGTGTCGAAAAGGACCTACAATCGGTTGTGAACTGGGGCAGGAATTGGCTGGTCAACTTTAACGCTTCAAAAACAAAACTGCTCTCTGTTAATCACCACAGAGATCCTTCCCTGCCCTCCATTAGAATGTCTGACGCTCAACTTCTCGAGAGCACCTCTCTGCGGCTGCTCGGTCTCACGTTGACTGCTGACCTGAGATGGAACAAATACATTGAGTCAATTGCCTCGTCCACCGCAAGGAAAGTTGGCTCCCTGTGCCGCGCCAGGAAATGTTTCTCCTCCAGATCTACAAATCAACAATTCGCCCTTGCATGGAATATTGCTACCATATATGGTCTGGTGCCCCTTCTGTTTGCCTCGGGGTTCTTGATAGGCTCCAGAGGCGGATATGCAATGTTGTTGGCCCTGTCCTGGCGTCTCGTCTACAGTCACTTTCTCACAGATGCACCGTCGCCTCCCTCTGTCTGTTCTACAAATACTTTCATGGCAATTGCTCCGAGGAGCTGCATTCGCTGGTTCCCAGACTTCATGAGTTCAAGCGCCCTACGAGGCTGGCATCCCGCTCTCATTCCTTCACTGTCGAAACTCCTAAATGTAGCCGTTTCTTCTACTCCAATAGCTTCATGTCTCGCACCTCTCGCCTGTGGCACTCCCTTCCCTATTCCAGTTTCCCTGAGAGTTATAATCGCCAACTATTCAAATGTAATGTCAATCGACATCTCCAGTTGCCTTGATCTATCCACTATCCTTTTCCTCATCCTTTCTTCTATCACTCCTATCTGATTTTGCTCCAAATTTTCTGTAACCCCTTGCGTCCTAGTGGCTTTCTGCCTTGCTTGGGGTGAAACGCTTAAAAAAAAATGTATGTATAAGGGAAGTTTATAAAGTCCATCTGAAGTTTTAAAGGCTTATAGTTTTGAAACTATACGTGATAGAATTGAGCAGTAAAAAAGACTTTTAAACATCGGTGGCCTGACGATTGCGTCTAGCATGAAACAGCCTGTCGCCTCTGAGTGTTGACTTCAATGTTCACTTTTATACATATATTTATATACGCTCTATCTCTGGTATTGATCACTTTATCCCGTAAATATAGCACCCCTTAAAACTATATATATATATATATATATATGTGTGTGTGTGTGTGTGTGTGTGTGTGTGTGTGTGTGTGTGTGTGTAGCGACTACTATGTTTTTCCACGCCCACATTTTATTCGTCTGGGATTGGATAATAAATCAATACTACTTTTCTATAGGACAATTTAGCCATCGCAGTCATTTCTTTGAATCCTTCGATTTTGAGCTTGCTTGCCTGTTTTGTTAGTACCAATGTTGTGATTGGTTAGTTTTTAACCAATCACCTATTTTAGTGCAAGATTAACCTTTTCCCGTGCTTCTGTGGGAGCCTATTTTTTTTCCTTAAAAGAGGCGAATTTTTCACAAGTCGTCAGTAGAATCCAGTAAGTTTCGCCTGTCTAAACGAGTCCATGATCTTACTCATAGCATTTCAAACGCACACACAGACACAGAATTTTGTAATATAAACTGACACTCCTCTCTGTGACTTAGCCAAGCTCAATCAACCAGGACTCTGTTAATTTCGAACCATTCTATAACACAACACATTTTTGATCAATTGTATTCTTGTGTTATCTATTCTAACAAACAGACCTTGTTCTAATATTGATTCCTGAACATTTTTCTCTCAAAAAGAACTTTCTTCGAACAATCAATTCCAAATCAAAATACACTTAAAGGGGAACAACTTCTTTCCCTTAATCTATACATTGAATACAATTTTATTGCTTGTTTGTTTTTGTATGTTATTTCAATATATACTTATATATTCAGTTTGGAGTTTTTGTTGTTTACTTGAATCCTGTACGTTGAAAGTATAATAATATAAATAGTATTGGTCCATCTACCCACTGGGCCATTACATATATATATATATATGAAGAAATATAGTTTTAAGGTGTGCTATATTTATGGGATAAAGAGCTCAATATCAGAAATAGGCCATATGTAAATATAAAAGTGAACATTGAAGTCAACACTCAGAGGCGACAAGCCGTTTCCTGCTAAACACAATCATCAGGCCACCTATATATATATATATATATATATATATATATATATATATATATATATATATATATATAAATATAAAGTCAACACTTAGAGGCGACAGTCTGTTCCATGCTATATGCAATCGTGGCCTGACGATAGCATATAGCATGAAACAGACTGTCGCCTCTAAGTGTTGACTTTATGTTCACTTTTATATTTACACACGCTCTATCTCTGATATTGAGTACTTTATCCCATAAATATAGCACACCTTAAGACTATATTTCTTTATATATATATATATATATATATATATATATATATATATATATCGGTCGGTATTTAAGCTAGCTCCTGTGGATGGATCTTGATTGGGCCTTCATCATAATAGGTAGGTAAGAGTAAGATGCGATAGGCAACAATAAACTAGAGAAGAACTCAAAATTGATCGCTGCATTTAAGTATTGCATTAATATTTAAGCTTACCTTTTCAACGATAGTTCTTCTGCCGCCACCTAATTTAAAGACGAGTTGATGTACGTAGGTCCGTACAAACATCTTTATTTCATGGGTAACTTTCGTTGGATTTCGCATTATTGCCAAATTTATTTCCAACGCATAAAAATTGTTATAGTACGAAAAATTTGCCGCAAAACGCCACTAAAAAAAATTGCCGAAAGCAATCGCAGAAATGAAAAGTTGGGAATCCAAAATTTCAGGATTTTCCGGTTCCGTCCCGGAATGTTTCTAATTTGCTCACGGAGTCGGCCTGATTCCAAAACAGTATATAGTCTGTAGGAGTAAAGTTGAAAAAGTGCGACAACACTGACACTGACTTTTGGATTTATTATATAGATATTCTGAAAGATGACATTACAACGCGACTTTCTATAAGATTCGTGTGTAGATTGTGAATTTTAAATGTTTTACGTTAAAAATGAAAAATGAAAAAAATGAAATGCATTTTCCGCCTTTCATTGTCTTATTTCCAGAAAGGAAAAAAAAAAAAAAAAACACCGTACAAACAGCAAAAAAGATATGTGCTGTTTATGGAGAGGATGCCATAGCTGAGATTAATGTTCGTAAGTGGTTCGTTAGGTTCAGAAGAAGAAATTTTGATTTGAAAGACCGAGAACGTTCTGGAAGGCCTGCAGTCGTTGATGATAACCAAATCGAAATGCTGATTAGAAATCATCCAGGTTAAACGACATGGGAC